GCACCTGACAGCACCAGTGCACCTGCCAGGCTGCACCTGACAGCACCAGTGCACCTGCCAGGCTGCACCTGACAGCACCAGTGCACCTTTTACAAAAATCACTTGAAGCTCTTTTTCTTCAACATGCAGAGTCAACTTGCGGATCCAGTTTTTCTTAGGGATCTACTAATTTGGCCCTAACAGGACAATGCTTCCACTTGCATTTGTTTATGTTCATTTAGTTTTTAAGTTTAGCAAATTATGAAAGCTCAATGTTATCAAACCCATTTCCTGGCAGACTTCATATGATCTGCATCTGTCAAACATTTTGTGAACCTCGGAAAGAAAACATTTAACCTAGCAAATAAAATCTTCCTAAGTGCTTAGCTGTTTAAAATCAAATACAGTCGGCCTCCAGGACTGAGGAGGGTTTGGTCCCAGCATCCCCACAGATACCCAAACCCACCAGGCTCAAGCCCAGTATGGGAAACAGCACAGCGTTCACAGGGAGCCCGGCCGCACCCCACAGAGCACCTTGGGCCACCGTGGTGTCCACACACCTAACCCCAGCAAGGGCTGGGCGAACAGCTGCTGTCCTCTGTGGTTTAGGGATAACGTAAAGGAAATAGTCCATACAGGGTTGGTGCAGATGGAACTTTTTCCCAAATATTTCTGATGCAAGACTGGTCAAATCTGCAGGTACTGAAGCCAGAGCTGTTAGGGCCCCAGATACATCTTCCTCCTGGTGGAAACCGAGCCACCTTCAGCTGTCGACAGTGCACTGCACTACAGCCAAAGCATTTAGCTCCTCTTTCACCCCATCCAACCTCAGCCACTTGCCTTTCACGAGGATGGAGATGGTGTCTCCCCAAGCCGAGCACTCTGTCAGGCCCAGGGTGGGCATCGTGGGCACTCACTCGCCACAGCAGAGTCAGCGCACCATTTCCAGGCCAGCCGGGGCCACTGCAGGTCTGCCCCCTTCCATGACACCTGGGAGGCACACCTGCCCCTGACAGCTGTTTCTCTCTGCTCCCAGATGTTCCTGCAGCAGCCAACCATCTCCCTGAGCTTCAGCAGTACCCAGCGGCCCGAGGCACAGCAGCAGCAGCAGCTGCCACAAAGGGTGGCAGCCGTGTCACAGCCCCAGCTCGTGACGAGCCCCCAGCTTCCAGGGCAGATGGCCTCAGCCCAGGTCACCAGCCAGCACCTGCTCCGAGAGTCCAGCGTGATTGCGAGCCAGGTACACGTGCTGTGTTCCCTGGGTCCCTGTGTCTCTGTGCGGTCCCTCCCTGGGGCAGGTGCACCTTGCAGGCTGGGAAGAACTTGGTCCCTGCAGCTGATGAGACCTGGAAAACCACAGCAGCTGCTGCTCTAGACTGGGGTGGATTTTTCCCTGCTTTAAAAAAAATCACTTTGAGGTCTAAGTCATGTTGGCTTCCTTCTGTTTTTTGCACTCTGGCCCTTGGAGACACCAGGCAGTGCTGAGGCCCGCTGCGCCCCAGGTCATAGCCCGGAAGCAGGAAGCGGTCTGTCCTCAGCCCGAGCATTGGCTGAGCTCCGGCATCCACAGGGCACAGGGGGTGGGCTGTGTCACTGCCCTCCGTGGCAGGGAGTTCAGCCAGGGCACAGCTGATGCTGACCCATGCTGAGCCTGCGGCACCAAGCGCGTGGGTTCAAGGCCCACGAGCTAGAGATGCTAAGTGCCTTTTATACAACAGTCCAGTGTTTGCACAGACACTGCCATGCCCTCCTGGAGACTGTTTAGTGCTGGGGGTGGAAGCCAGGCCTTGCGCATACCAGTTGAGTTCTCTACAGTGCCGCTGCACCCCATGTGCTTTACCCCGAGATGAGTGGAAACGCTTTCCATGAGAGCAGTACCACGTAGAGCTGGGTCACTTGGGGGATCCTGATAAGATCTGTGTATGTTCAGCACAAGCGCAATGATTTTTGAAGCATTTCTGAGCAGTGGTTGAGGAGGTCGCGGGTGTGTAGAGCTGGCTGATCGTGTAGGAGGCCTTACCCACCCTGACCCGCAGGAAGGATCTGCCCTGAACATAGAGGCTTTTCATTTGAACACTCATCAGGAAAACGAATGGATGAGAATTAGCCAAGGGAATTCAGGAAAAGGGAAAACCAGCAGGATTTGCACACCGGCTCCTGCGGGCTCTGTAGGAGAGCGCTGTGGCACCGTGGGAAGGGGCTTTGGGGCAGACGGTGGGAAAGCAAGTCCTGCTGGCGGATTCCACCGGACCCGCATTGACAGAGCAGTCGCCGTGTGCGGCACACTGGCTTCCAGGCACTGAGGGAGAACAGAGGGCAACAAGGGGAGGGGGAGAAAGGAACAAGTAAGAATCACAGGAAGCCATCCTGTGGTGATGTGGGGAGGCCGGGGGAGGGGTAGAGGTTTAAACAGGTGGCCGGGGGCTTCCCAGAGAAGGTAGTTCTGCAGCAGAGACTCGAGGGGAAAGTTGGGCCTCAGCAGCAGCAGGCAGGACGCCCACACAGAGGCCTGGCTAGTGCAAAGGCCCTGGGGCAGCAGAGGCCTGCTGGAGCCTTGCGTCTGGGGTGGAACTTGTGACGCAAAAAGACAGGCTTTGGTTGGAGGCACAAGTGTGACTTGGCCTCTGAGAGGCTGGCACTGGCTAAGACCCCAGGGGTTCAAGGGTCCTTTTGGAGACTCACACCCAATGGGAAGCCAGTCATAACCTTAAAAGGGCTCAGCACCTCAGAAAAAAAGCTGACAGGCAGAAGGAGCTATGCACCTGGAACATTTCCCGAGCTGAGTCTGAGGTGTTTCTTTTGTTTTGTGCTGCAGGGAATCAATCCTAGAGCCTTTACACTGAGCGTCAGCCCAGCCTTGTTTTACTTTTTATCTAGAGGCAGAGTCTCCTGAAGTTGCCATGGTGCCCAGGGCTGGGGCTGAACTGAGATCCTCCTGCCCCGGCCTTCTGGTCTGCTGGGATTACCGGTGCACACCACCATACCCAGCTCCAATCTAACTCTTTCTCTTTCCTGTTCATCGATGCTCCAGGGTCCAAAGCCGGTGCGAGGCCCCCCGCTGGTGCAGGGGAGCAGCCGCTTGGCCAGCAGCCTGCCACCCCCGTTCGGCAGCACTGCAGCACTGCTGCCCCCAGCCCTGAGCCTGGCTGCCCCCGTGCCCACCTCCCAGGACGCCAGCCAGTGCCAGCCGGGCCCCGACTTCAGCCATGACCGGCAGCTCAGGTGCGGGGCTGCCCACTGGCTGCGTGAGAGGGAAGCTGAGGCACTACGTACTCTCTTCCCTCCTGTCTGCCTAGGAGGAGGCACAGTTCCGACAGATGCCGAGGGCTCTGCAGGAGGTGGCAGGAGAGGGTGTGGGGTCCTGGTGGCCAGACACGGCCACTTGGGCACAGATGGGAGGTGGGTGCCTGGCTGACTTGGCCCTTTCTCCTGCCCTGCTCCAAGGCTGCTGCTGAGCCAGCCCATCCAGCCCATGATGCCTGGGTCCTGCGACGCGAGGCCACCCGCGGAGGCCAGCAGGACAGGACAGCATGTCAAGTAGGTGGCAGGGAGGCAGGTGGGCTGAGAGCTGCATGGGCTCCACCTTGCTGCTTAAGCCAACGCTCCGGAGGTGGCTGTGGTGTCCCACAGCTTGATCCCAGCACTCACAGCTGAGGCAGGAGGGTCACTGGCTGAGACCCCAGGGGTTCAGCTGTGCCTACATAGTTTGAGGCCCTATCTCAAAAACAGCAGTGTTGGAAGGTGTGGGTCACTGGAGTCCAAAAGCATGATGTCCACATCAGCCCTGCACCCAGAGGCCTTCCTGGACAGGGTGCCACGTGGACAGCAATGAGGGTGCTGGCTTAGGGCCCTCATGAAGCCACCAGGGCCTTCCTGGGCGCCCCACCTGCAGAACTTCTTCACATCCCAGTTATATCCAAGTGCAGCTAGCGAGGGACCCCAGGGATAGAGGTTTCAATAGCTGAACTTCTGGGGTCCACAATCAGACCACCCCTTCCCAGCCTCTGCTGCTCTTGCCTGGGGCCCACAGCAGGTGTCCACTGCCTACTTAGGAGGGCTGGTGTCCCACAGACAGAGCAAGCCCTCGCCCTGGAACAGTCTCTGGCCCCTCGAGGGCGGCAAGGATACGGCCATCACACTGGCGTCATCTCCTGTGAACTTCGGGACTGGGGCTTGCAGCCCTTCCCTGTGCCTCGGCACCCCGCGTGAGCAGGAGCTGAGTGTTTCTGTCTCCCCATGGCCGCCCCTCCTTCCAGCAGAAACTCGGGTGCAGGGCTGCTTTCTTCCTTCCCATCAGGGCAGACAGAGCCTGACTGGGGAGCCAGAGCCCTCACCGTGTCCTGACTCTTCAAAGATGACCTTTGTTAGGGCTGGCGAGGTAGCTCAGCAGACAAAAGCGCCTCTTTGGCAAGCGCAAAGACCAGGGCCGCATCCATGCTGGCCCTGCCCCTGGGGCGCACTGAGCCAGGACAGAATCCGGGCAGGGTGGTGCACACCCCCAGCACTGGGGAGGCTGAAACAGGAGGATCACTACAAGTCCAATCTGCATAGTGAGACCTTGTACCAAATACACGAATTTAAAAAAAAAAAAATTAAAAGATGACCCTGTTGGCCCTCTCAGAGGTCTCCCCACAACCTTGGGACAGCATTTTGGGGGACTGCAGGGGTCAGAAGTCCAGGCCCCAGGCATGCTCTGCCCCTGAGCACCACCCAGCCCTACTGAAGGACTTCCTAGGGCCTGGGTCCGGCCTCCCTTGGTGATAGCAACTTGTGGCGGGAGGGTGGCGAAGGCCTACACCCTGCAGGCAGCTGATTTCTTGCTCTCTGATTCTATTTTGGTACCACACAGACCACTTGTCCTTCAGTGACTGGTTTACCTCACTTATCCTAAATCTCCCATGTTCCCTGCTGTCAGAGCACGTGGCAGAATCCCTTCCCTTTTAGGGCTGCGCAGTATTCCGCCGTGTGGCTACATCCTATTCCGCACCTGCCCCTCCGTCAGCACACACCTGGGTGGCTTCTGCCTCTCAGTGTGCTCATGAACAGCATTTCTGTGTGCACCCAAACGCCTGCTCGGGCGCCTGCTTCTGCCGTCTTTGGCTGCACACCTGGAAGGGGAATTGCTGGATCCCAAGGTCATTCTGGGTTTCATCTCTTGAGTCCTTTGCATATTGCTCTGTCCCGTCTGACAGGTCCAGCACCAGGGCCAGGAGTCCCAGTGCCTCCACATCCCTAGCACCAAGTGCTTTTCCTACTGTCTTTGTTTTCGTGGTACTAGGGATTGGGCCCAGGGCCATCACACTAAGCTACTTCCCCAGGCCTTTGTTATGTTTTACTTTTTTATTTTAAGCTACGGTCTTGCCAAGGCCCCAAGTGCCCCAGGCTAGGCTCAGCTTCTTGGTCCTCCTGCTTCAGCTTCTCAGAGTGCTAGGTTCATCGGCCTGGTGCTGTCATACTGGGCTCACGTCTTTGATTTTTGTTTTAATGTTAGAGTCGTGGTAATGGACGTGAATGGCAGCTCCTTTGGGCTCCAAATTGCTTCTCCCTGTTGACTCCTGCCATGAACCATTGTATCCTGGGCCCTCTGGCACCCAGATCTTCCCTCTGGGGAGGTCACTGGAGCGCTCACCTGTCGCCAGTAGGGCTGTAGCCACTGCAGGTTGGTGGCTCCATCAGGGGTGATGGAGCCAGGGAGAAGGGGGAGTGATTCTGGAGGCACCCCAGCCCCCATCTCTCCTCAGACACAGCATCTGCCAGTTTTCCCCTGCGGCAGCAGTGTCCTCGATGTGCAGGGCTCTCATGCTGCCTGTGCTTGTGGTGTCCCATCCTGTTTTCTCCTCCCCTCGGAGCAGGTTCACCCCGGGCCAGCCCGCGTTCCCCAGTCCAGATGCGCACCCAGTCAGCAGCAGCGCCCCGACGCCCATCCTGCTGATGGGGCAGGCGGTGCTGCACCCCAGCTTTCCTGCGCCCCCGCCGGCCCCGCAGCAGCAGCAGCCGCCGCACTTCCTGCAGGTGGGCCCAGGGCCCGGGGTGGGCAGGGGCAGGAGCGAGGCCAAGCCCTCCTGCTTTCCAGCATCTGTCTCGGCTAACTGCTGCTGATGCTGAGGCTTTTTAATCTGAATGTGGAGCGAGAGGACCGAGGAGCAGCTCAGAGGAGGCAGTCACTCCGCCTGGGCTTGCACCACACTGTGGCCACATCTGTCAGAGCAGAAACAGCCCCTGGGACCGTTGACACTCACCTTTAGGGTCCAAGTATAAAGTCTTCCACAGCACCTGTAATCCCAGCTAAGCGGGAGGCTGCTGCAGCTCAGCACCTGGGAGGCTGAGGCAGGAGGATCCCCAAAAGCTCGAGGTCAGCCTGCAGTACATAGTGAATTCAAGTCCAGGCAACTACATAGGGAGACCTTGTCTGAAAAAAACAAAATAACAAGAATAATATTACACAAATATGAAGTTAAGTCACATTTAAATACCCATCAAACTGCCTTAATAAGTGCAATGTTGTGTGACACTGGATCTTGCCCAGAAATATGGAGCATATTTACTACTTATGAGGCAAAAACTATTTCCTAAAGGCGTCAAATACATTGGAAGAAGGAGGTGGGAGCCCCCAGTCTGGGATTCAGGTGGGGGCTAGAGGCCCACGGAGGCCTCCAGCTGTCCCTTCAGCCTATGCCCATGGTGTCCTGCTCTGGTGAGGCCAGGGGACATCAAGAGGACCGTGGGACAGACATGGAGAGTGTGCCCCTTGTGTGGGGTGTGATTTCCTCCAGAGCTGAGAGCCGCCAGCTCAGGGACCCTCCAGTCTCCTGGCCCCCACCGTGGGACCAGCTCCAGCTTGGGTTCTGCTAGTGTGGGGGCACAGCAGCGACTCCAGGTGGACTGAGCAACAATGCGAGGAAGAGGCAGCAAGGCGTCGTGCAGGTGCCAGGCGAGGTGGCAGAGCTCTGGACCTGCTCGCTGCCCTTAGGACTTCAGGGCCAGGGGCATGGGGACCTGGTACACAGAGGGAGAGCCCAGGGCAGGCACCCCGTGGAGACAGGGGCTTGGGAGATACGCCCTTGGAGGCATCTGCTGCAGAGCCCAGCAGCTCCAGGAAACGCCTCTCCCTGGGGAACAGCAGCAGAGATGAAGGACATGGCATGGGGAAAGGGTGCTGGGCAGCTCAGAAAGTGGGGCCAGAGTACTGAGGTCCTCAGAGGGGGCATGGGTTGGAAAGAAGAGTGGGAAATAAGACCGAAGCACCTGGAGGCCAACACTTCTGACCCTTGGGGTGTTTCCTAGTAGGTGCTGCAGGGTCACCATGCTGGGAAGGGTTACAGGAACAGGGCCAGCAGGAAAAATCATGCGGACCTATGAGATGGGGCCAAAGAATACGGGGAATGCTTACACACTTAACATAGCTCAGGAAAAGACAACTTCTGTGAATCCCCTTCAAACACGCTTACCTTGCTCCTTCCCACTTTCTGCACAATGCTGGACATCCCCTTTCCTGAGTGTCGTTAGTCGTGCTGTTGTGGCTGCCTCAGTGTCCTGAATCATTTCCAAACATTGACCTTTTGTGTCATTTTGACTTTGGGGAACAGCCAGAAGCCGCACAGTATGGGCTTCAGGGGACAAGGCCACCACACCATGTTCTTATAAGCCCCTTTGCCCTGGGTGGTGCTGAGCCACAGAATTGTCTTTTTTATCTCACCACATAAAGACACTCTTAAAAGAGGACTGTATAACTGCTTCTGAAAGTGGGGCAGATTCCTAGGGGACTCATGGCAACGTGTCCTCTTCTGTAATCATCTTTTAGGTAGGTACTCACAGTACAGGTCCTTCACACCTTGCACACGAGTGCGGATTCTGTCCTGTTGGCCATCTGCACAAGGCCTCAGACTCCATCACCCACGGCCATGTAGGCCACCTGTAGACAAGGGAACACAAGAAACCATCCCCGCAGCCTCAGCCCCGGGTACACTGGGCCAAAGGGAAGTGCGGTGTTGGCAGAGAGCTTGACTCCTGAGGTCCCCTCTCCCAGGAGAACTCAGGCTGCTTTCGCCTCGACTCAGAGCTGATAGATGTGGCCAGACCCACCTCTCTGGACGAGGTGCCCTGGCCATCGGAGGAAGAGGAGGAGGAGGAGGAGGAGGAAGAGGAGGAGGAGGAGGAGG